TGGCTCAATGGATAGAGCACCGGCCTGCGGACTGAAGGGTCCCAGGTTTGATTCCTGTCAAAGGCCTGTACCTTGGTTGCAGGCACATCCCCAATAGGAGGCAGTTGATGGATGTTCCTAACTCTCTATCCCTCTCCCTTCCTCTCTGTAAAATAATCAATAAAATATAAACATTTTTAAAAGAATTGAGAATTATACCCACTATACAGGTCCATGGAATGAAGAAAGCAAGTTACAGAACATATGTAGATTGAGTCTTCATTTTGAAGGGGGAAATGCAAAGGCCATATATTTGTATGTGCATATAACAGAGTATGGAAATACATACACCAAACTTATTGAAGAATTTAAGGAGGATGAAGCAAAGGGAGTTTAAACACCTGTGCATTGTCCAGACATATTTTTTCTTTTTGACAATGAGCACTTGTAGTTTATTTAAAGGGAAATATTTTAAAGAGCTCTTTTGTTTGTCAGAATAATAGCAGCTATTTGTCATTGAAAATAATGGACAAAACCCAAATTTCCAAGTGCAGTACAACTGCTAGCTACAGGGAAGTCAAGCAATAGACAGAAAGGACAAACCCTGCCACGCCCCCCACCAGTGCATGAATCTAATGCACCAGGGGGGAAAAAATCCTGTTTTCACGCTTCTCTTCATTTGGCATTCTGTCACCTAAAATGTAGTTATTCAGAAGCTGGTTTTTAGAAAGCTTCCCCTTCTGAGAATAATGCTTTTTGGAAACAACTTGGAAATGATTCAAGAACTGAATGCAGGTCACAGTTGCCTTGCACAATAAGCTTTATAGCCTGCCCCCAAAGAGATTGGATCACAGAACTAGAAAAGATGGAGATCATGCCTCACTTGCACTTGGCTTAGATTTAATCTAGTAATCAAAGATATTCTAGTTGAAGCAGGATGACTGATTGCATATAAAACATATAAATACAAAAAACAACAACTCACAAACACACACACACACACACACACACACACAACTCTACAACATTTTGAAGAACTGAGTTGTCTGAGATGTCTTGGTAAGAAAAAATGCCTAATTGAAAAAAGGATGTCTTGTTGGAGAGGGGGGAATGTCTTACCTTTATAAGCAATAAGGAACTAATTTGCTGTGTTCTACAGGTAAAAGCCTTCTTGGAGATAAGAGGTTCTACAGAGTTAGGAAATTTTCCAGGGCAGAATTTAAAAATGGGTAGTTAAGAGATTTGTGTTGTATTTAAATTTGCATTTGAAATTTTCATTTTAATTGAATACATATGAAATTAGATTGAGCTGATCTACAGATTACTTTTAACAAAATTTGTCCTCCTATGCCAAATGTCAGACATTTTAAGCATCAAAAAGAACAATAACTATTGGTGATTGTAAGATATCAAATAAACAAAAATCCATGAGTCCATAGTGATATTCAAAAGAAAAAAGGAGCCAGGACCGGTTTGACTCAATGGATAGAGCCGACGCTCTATCTTGGGGACTGAAGGGTCCCGGGTTCGATTCCGGTCAAGGGCATTTACCTTGGTTGCGGGCATATCCCCAGTAGGGGGTATGCAAGAGGCAGCTGATCGATGACTCTCTCTCATCGACGTTTCTAACTCTCTATTTCTCTCCCTTCCTCTCTGTACAAAATCAATAAAATATTTTTTTTAAAAAAGGAATATAACAAGAAAATCTTTTTTTGTAGAATGTCGGTTAATAAAAGTAGAAAAGATACTTAGAAAACTACCATTTTGCATTCCCAAGGCAGTAACTGATTCAGACAAGATCAGTAATATAAGCTAAAGCCCTTTATGAAAAATAGGGTATCCACACAGCATCCAATAATCATCCACAAATACTAAACATTTGCAAAGAGGAAGAAAAACAAACTTTATAGTGAAGAAATCTCTACTTCCCAATATAGCCAAGGGATCACCCTTATTCCTTTAAAGGTCTCTTTCCCCCTTTCAAAAATTGATTTTGGAGGGTAGGGAGAGAAACATCCTAGAAGGGCCTTGACCGGGGGGATTGAACCCAAACCTGGGTATGTGCCCAACTGGAATTGAACCTCAACCTTTTGGTGCACAGGATGATGCTCCAACCAACTGAACCACACCTGTCAGGGCAGGGACCACTCTTATATTCAATAATAGTAGGCAACCTGATATTATGTTCTTTGATGTAAAGCAACATAACTTTCTTGCTAAGAATGGTTAAATTGAATCCAATCAAGCTTTACACAATTTACAGGATACAGAAGAACTAGATGTTAAGACAATATAAGAAAGAACCAAATCCAGATTGTGGGACCATCTACAAGATAAGTGTCCTGACTTTAAAACCCAATGTCATGTTTTAAAGAGAAAACTAGCCTAAACCAGTTTGGCTCAGAGGATAGAGCATCGGCATGCGGACTGAGGGGTCCCAGGTTCGATCCTGGTCAAGGGCATGTACCTTGGTAGCGGGCACATCCCCGGTAGGGGGTGTGCAGGAGGCAACTGGTCAATGTTTCTCTCTCATTGATGTTTCTAGCTCTCTGTCCTTCTCCCTTCCTCTCTGTAAAAAAATCAATAAAATATATATTTAAAAAAAAAAAAAAAGACTATCCTATATAATAAAAGCCCAGCAACCTAAAGGCAGAACCAGAACGACCAGGTGACCAGTTGTTATGATGCGCACTGACCACCAGAGGCAGGTGCTCAAGGCAGGAGCTGCCCCCTGGTGGTCAGTGCACTCCCAACAGTGGGAGTGCGGTTTGGCTTATAGGGATGAGCGGCTGCTCCCACAGAGGCTGATTCCTGCAGGCCACGCCCCCCACCAGTGCATGAATCTCATGCACCAGGCCTCTAGTTCTGGAATAAGAGATCTACAACCAAATACAGTAACATTGACTGAGAGCCTCATTGGGGAAAAGGGAGAAGGGGCTATTAAAAATTGTCAAGCCCAGCCAGATGATTCAGTTGGTTTGTCTGTCTCCTGTACACCAAACATTGCAGGTTTGACTCCCGGTCTGGGCACACACCTAGCAGGTTCCATCTCTGATCTGGGTGAGCAATCCCCAGTCTGGGGTCGTACAGAAGGCAACTGATTGCTCTCTCTCTCTCTCTCTCAAAATCAATTAAAAAAAAAAAAAAAAAAAACATATCCTTGAGTGAAGATTTTTTAAAAATTCTTGAAACAATATTTGATATTAAGAATTACTGACAATTTTCCTTGCGTTTGTGTAATCATATTGTAGTTACCATATTGTAGTTACCCAATTTTCCTTGTGTTTGTGTGATCATATTGTAGTTACCTATTGTGGGTAACTACAATATGATCACACAAATGCAAGGAAAGAGACTCTTCCATTCGTAGGAAATAAACGGTTAAGTTTTTAGAAATGAAATATCATAATGCCTGAAATTTACTCTAAAATAGTACAGCTGTATGGTGAGGAAAGATGCCAAAATCTGCCTTTGTCCTTCAAAACCAGCAATATGGTTTAACCTAATAAATACATATAGAGAGTTAAAGCAAGAAAGCATAATGTTAGCAATTATTGAATCTAGGTGGTTTCTATACAAGTGTTTATTGTACTATCCTTTCAACGTTTCCATGTAATAAATATTTTATAGTAAAAAGTTGGAGGGAATTCTAAGAAATATTTTCCTTAAACCACATCTATCAAATTTACCTTAAATTTTAAAGAAGTATCTTAACGTTTTTAAAGAAGTGATTTGCTTTCCCTCCTTATTACCATCCATTTGAAGAAAAGTACTAAAACCTGCTTTAATTATTGCAAATAATATTCTAATGCTAGACTAGGCCCAATATAAATCCCACAATAATCAGTACAAGAGTTATATGTGTAAACATCTGGTTTTATGCCCAAATAACAAACTTAACAGCAGTAAAACAAATCATTTATTACAGCATATAATGTTATATTAAATTTACACAATGATATATAAAAACACATACTGTTTATATCACACAGTAATTTAACATTAACAGGAATATCAAAACAAATACTACTCATGCACAAAACATGCTTGTATCGGTATAAAAAAGCAATTTTACACAATACTGTTTACCAAAAACAATTTTTTTTTTTAAAAGCCCTTCCTTCCAGACAGGGTCAGTGGTCCGATCTGGACTGGATTGCACTAACATGTGTGGGCCAAGGCTTAGGTGGCACAGTGCTCAGTGAGCAATTGTGAGCTTGCAGTCATGCCCAAGGTTATTTCATGAGGAGTGAATTCATCTGTACCCACGGACCAAAACTTTATCCCAAAGGCAAGTCTCCAAGGGAGGAATGGTTGGATTTGCCGCAAATTAGGGAGAAAAAAAGGCATCAAAATGTTGGATCAAACAGCCCTAAAAATGGTTACCCTAACCAGGGCCTAGGCACAAGTTTAGTGAATCCCTTCGAGGGTACTACCAGCCTTTCTATCCAAGTCACTATTTGCTCTCTGGATTTAGGGTCTGGTCTTCAAGTTCTGAGTCTAGTAAACCAACCACACAGTTCTGAGACGACAGAATGGGAGCGTATGACTGTCTGAGAAATGTAGACTGTATAAAAAAAATTCAGAGAAAACGAACACGCTCCCTCATACCTACTTGACACCGTGATGTGATACCTGCCCCTCAACAAGAAAGCCCTCCCGGAGACACTGCCCTAAAGAACCAAGGAGCAAATGTCTGTTCTAAATGCCATCTACCTGACCTTCCGGTCAAAAAATCTCATCCCAATGAAACCAGATGCTCAGGAAAACTTAAAATAACCATCACCACACACACACACAAAAATATGTATGCATTTTTCACCACCATTGAAAAACCTCCATTACTGACTATTAACCAGCAAAAACACTCTTCCCCTTCCATTCAAGGCACCGGTGTGTGTCATACATAATGAAGAAGAGACGTTCTTGCACTTGGGAGTCCTCTTCGCCAAAGGGAACGCATTCCGAGATCACACACAAAAACCTAGGACGCCGCCCCCTTTTCCTTCGACCAGAGGTCCTCACACGGTGGTCATCAGCTTCAGAGAGCCGGAGCGGAAGCGGAGGATCTTCTTCTTGAGGTTGTGGGAGGCCTTGATTTTGACGAAGGTCTTGGCGGGGTTGCCGCGGCGGTGCAGGTCCGGGGGGCCCGCCGCGACCCCCGGGATGGGGAGCGTCTGCACGAACTGGGACCACAGGAGGCCGCCGCTCTCCTCCGAGTCGCTGGAGCTGGTGCTCTCGCCCGCGAACTCGGCCTCCTCGCTGGCGCTGGACTCGCTGTCCCCGAAGCAGTTGGTGGTGTAGTTGCTCTGCTCGTCCTCGCTCGTGTCCACCACGGTGGAGTGGAAGAGCGACTCGCACTCGGCCGAGTACTCGGAGTCGCTGGCCGCATAGGCGTAGGGGCTGCTGGCGGCGGCGAAGGGCAGCGCCACGGGCCCCGCGCACAGCCCCGCGCCCTCCCGCCGGGCCCGCCGCGCCCGCCGCAGCGCCTCCTCGTACGAGGCCTCGGCGGCCGCCCTCCACCGCCGCGAGTCCGTCCGCTTGTGCCGGGGCTTGGCCACCACCGCCTCGCGCCCGTGGTGCCCGTGGCCGTGGCCGTGCGCCCTGCTCCCGGGGCCCCGGTGCGCGGCCCCCAGCGGCCGGCTGGGCACACCCGCGTCGCCGTGGGCGCCCCCGCTCCTCCTCCCCCGGGCGGAGGACACCTTCCTGAGTTTCTTATTTGTATCCGTGTCGTCGGGGAACCGGCACTTCTTGCCGGCAGCGCGGGTTTTCTCGCGCACGGTGGGCAGGGTGCCGCCGTCGGGGCCGTGCAGGGCCTGCGCCCGGTGCTTCAGGGCGGAGCCTCTGGGGGGCGCTGCAGTCCGGGGGCCCCGGTGCAGCCGGACGCCCGGCGGTGGCTGTGGCTGGGGCGCAGGGATGAAGTGCGCCTTCACCAGAGGCCCCTCTTCCAGGCTCTGAGAAGAGGAGCCCTCGCTTTTGAAATCCAGGGCAGGCCGCTCTTCCACGGAGGCGGCGGAGGGGAAAGCTGAGGATGGGGGTGCGGGCGGGGCAGGAGGGGGTGCAGGTGGAGGGGCGGCCTGCAGGCTGCTTTTCTGTGCTGGCTTTTTCAGGGGCTGGATGACTTTGTTCTCCTGCAGCGGGGCGAGGCCTCGCCCAGGGCTCTCTTTTGGAGGGGCAGCTGGGACCTGGCTGCTCTCCTTGGGGGCCTCCCCTGTCCCGGCGGCGGTGGGGCCGCGCCCATGCTCCTGGGAGGCCAGCTTGGCATGCTTGGGTGGGTGCTTGCTTTGAAGGTCAGGGGCGGCACCAGGCGGGCTGCAGCCCTCGGGCAAGGGCAGCCTCTTGCTTTCCAGTTGGTCTGCCTTCGGTTCTTTGGACCACTGCTTCGGCGGGGAGAACGTCGTCCCATGGTCCAAGGAGGGAACTCCGACCGAGGGCAGAGGCGCCTGTTTGGAATTCTTAAGGTTCCCAGGATTGCCCTGGGGGACAGCGCCGGTCACCCGGACACAAACGCTCCCGTTCCTCAGAAGTCCCTTGGTGGGGTCCGCGTTCACACTGGTTCTGGGCTTGTTGGTCCTCACCGGGTGTGTCTTCTTCTGCACCAGGCTCAGAATGTAGCCGTCCATTTTCTTGCTGGATGAGGGGTGGGGAGCAGGCCACACGCTGCCCGGAGACGGGAAGGACGCCTCCGTCTTGATGGCGTCCAGCTCAGATCCCACACAAATGTCACCGGTGTGGCTCCCCAGCCTCTCCTCTTCCCTCGGAGGGCTGCCTGTCAGGCAGAGGAGAAACATGGGGCTCTGCACGGCCACGGCATGGAGCGGGCTGGGGTAGCGATAGACGTCATTCCCGTTTTTAGACACCAGATCGCACTGGTACTTGGGATTCACATCTGCAACGACACCAAGGGGATTAAATGGTGATGTGGATGGGAAACAGCCAACTGCCTCTGAGGCCTGGTCTTCACCGTGGCCTTCTGTATAGTCCCACCATCCTATGAGAACTGGAAAACATTTAAAGGTGCACTCTGAGGAAATGAACGGGTCGGCACCAGCTTGACTCTGGCCAACTTCTAGGAAGACAAGTTCATGGGTAGAGAGAGAATGCCAAGAATCAACAAATACAACATGAGCTTTACATACAGTGCAGACTACTGGAGGAGGGGGGAAATATTTCACAAAGAAAATTTTATATGATGTAGCTTCTGAAGAAAAAATATTCAGCCGTTAAAAATGCTTTATCTATTTGTATCTATATCTACCATGTTTCCCCGAAAATAAGACATCCTCCGAAAATAAGACCTAGCACATGGAAAGATAAGATATCCCCTGAAAATAAGACCTAGCGCAACTTTGGGAGAAAAAATTAATATAAAACACTGTCTTATTTTCGGGGAAACAGGGTATATATGTATTGGAGGAAGAGAGGGTAAAAGAGAGAATCAATTTGTTGTTCCACTTATTTATGCATTCATTGGTTGATTCTTGTATATGCCCTGACTGGAGACCCAAAACCTTTGGCAAATCGGGATGATGCTCTAACCAAATGAGCTATCTGGCCAAAGCCAAAAATTTCAAATTATCAAATAATAGGAGGAAACACTTTAAAGTTTAGTGAAAATCAAGATATAATACCAAACTATGATTATAATTTTATTAAGATTGAATAGATGTAAAAAGAAGTCTGAAATGAAACACACCCAGCTGCTAATTGTAGCATCTTAGGGTGGTAAGAAAACAAGCGATATGAACTTTCTCCTTTGTTTTCTATTCTCTAAATTTTCAGTAAATATGTATATTGTATTATAATTGGAAAAATAAATTTTTTGAGTCATTTTTTCTCTAGACTACTTTCCCCTTTTATTCTATTCCTGGTTTCTCTTTAAAATATTATACTTCAGATAAACTATACTTTCTATGGGCTTTCTTCTCATTTTGTATTTTTAGACCTAATTCTTAATGGCATATGTTCAAATATTACTGTCAATTGAAAGGTCAAATTTTAATACAGACTAATCAAATTTAAATAATAATATATTTTCAATAGTGACACTAACATAAAAACAGTATTTTTTAAATAATAAGGATTTTAAAAAAATATATTTTATCGATGTTTTTACAGAGAGGAAGGGAGAAGGATAGAGAGTTAGAAACATCAATGCGAGAGAAACATCAATGTGCCCGCAACAAAGGTATATGCCCCTGACCGGAATCGAACCTGGGACCCTTCAGTCTGCAGGCTGACTGCTCTATCCACTCAGCCAAACCAGTGGTTAGGGCAAGAAAGAATTCTTGATAACACTTTAATAGATTAAGTAGTGGAATTAACAAATAAATGTTCACATCATAAAAATATAGATGCCAAAATACAATGAAATCAAGCTTTCTTGCTTAATTAAGCGATTTTGATCTCCTATCTTGGTGAATACTACAATTTTCAAGTCGCATTAAATGACCTTCAGTTAGAGAAAAAAAATCAAAGTTTTTATTATTATGTAATTTGTCCTCCATTATATTTATTCGCCCAATGCTGAAAGCCTATGTGCCAGATTCTATGTTAATTTTAAGGGAAAACTCCATGAACCTTAATGATAATTAGCAATTTTGGGGAAAATATAGTCTAGACTCAGAATAACATAGTTAATTTTTAAAGAAATGATCATTATAAAAGTGCCATGTCTACTCCCCTCTCCACTTCAACTCCCAATAAGTAGCTTATTGTAAGGAGAACCACCTCTTGCTAATATCCTTGCCCAGCCCTCCTCCTCTCCTGCCCTAAGGCCTATCTGCCTTGCTTAAAGCCACATTAACCTACACTTTACCATTTCTCCCTTTTCCCTACTTAGAGTTAAGGAACAAGACAGACATCCCAGCTCCCAAGACCCAGCCCAACCGTCTCAATTATGTGAAGATGTAGCATTTGGGAGAGGGGTCTGTCTTTGAGGAAAACCCATACCAAAGTGCCTTTAATAGGTTTGCAAGTTTCCCTCTGAAACCAGATCTGTAGAGTGAAGGGGAGCAATTACCAATGAACTTGAGGTCCAGACATTCTAGATAACACTGATCTGTTGCTTCCCCAAATGACTGCTGGTGACAACGCACCCTGTACAAATACAAAGACACCAGCCAATTAGCAGCTTCAGTTGTTGGTGGTGTGTTTGCATTGCCTGGACTGAAGAATCCGGCCTTAGACCCAGGTGGAGAACACAAACAAACCAAGAGTGCAGTGACTTGTGCCAGCACCTACAGCTCCCCTACTCTCCGTATTCCCTCTGCTCTTTTGAGGAATCAAAACAAAGCAGAACTAAGGGAGGAGTCCCGAGTTTCAGCAACAGCTCTGCCATTCAGCAGATGAGGAGCCTCTGACAAACTGCATCCAAATCCAAATCTCCCCCCTTTTCAATGAAAACGTTGAACACCAACAACTTCTGAATTCCCTTGGTGTGATGTGATGGAAAATCATGCACCTGGCAGTTAGTCCGGAGCATGAATCCTGCCTTTAACACTCACTAGCTATTTAGCCTTAAACAACTTACCTAATCTAACCTCACTAGGCCCCATCTGCTGATACATAAAGTGGAGCTAATAACACCTGCATCCTGCCCAACAGCTGGGAGGAGCCAAAGGAGATGAAAGTACACAGACTCTCCAGTACCGTGACAGTGATGCATAGCAGGAATGCAGAAACTCTTTCAGGACCAACAACAGCTTGAGCCGCTGTGGAGGTAACTGCAAGGACAGCCCAAAATGAGAAACAATGGCACATGGCCTCAGGTACATCCCCTCTGGCCCGCTAAAGGGAGAGCTGCCGTCAGACAAAGCCTTCTGGAGAAGGTGGAAGCGCCACTGCTCCCTGAAGTGCCAAGCAGCCCTTGGCCAGGCTGACAAATATATTTACCTTAATGTAAGCTTCAGCTTTAAATTGTTCAAGAAAAAAGAAGATCCAAAGTGGTTTTCAAAAGAAAATACAAGCAAGTGAAAGCCTACCAAAGCCTGTTAAGCAAAGGCTCAGAAACAGAGCTCAAAACTTACAGAGGGGTGGGAAAATAAAGATAAAAATTATGAACAACAAATACGTAACTATCAACAAGTGAATCTAAAAAACCAAGGGAATTAAAAAATCTGATGAACAATGTTAACTGGTGAATATAATAGAATCAGAGGTATGGAAGGGGAGTGGACTGACGATTCTCGGGGAAAAGGGGAGTGGGGGGAGTGGGAAGAGACTGAACATAAACTGCACCTATGGGTGAGGACAATGGGGGTGGAGAAAGGGCAGAGAGTGGGTGAGAACCTGGTGGAGGGAGAAAAAATGAGGAACTTTTGTAATAATATGAACAATAAAGATTTATTTTTTTTAAAAAAAGAGCTGAATATAAAGCCACGTGGCACCCGAAGACCAGAATAGTGGGCATCTTGGTTCTAGATGCAGCTGTGGGCCCTACATGCGGCAAACCAATGGAATTCTTGTCACTTTTGTTTTTCATCAGTAAAAGGGGTTGAAGCTACGTAACCTTTAAGGAATCTTTGACTCCTTCCAATTAAAAAATTGTGTATTAATTCTAAAAAGGCTTACCTGCAGATTTGGGACAACTCTCTGAGATCGTCAAGGTTGCCTCCAAGGGGCTGCAAAAGCAGGTGCTGGAATGACAACTGGATAAGCACTCACTGAAGACCGAGTTAGAGGAATTGGAAAGGGATCCTGAAGCCCCATCACTCAGCTCATAAAACCCTACAAAGGAAGACACCATTTGGAATTAGGATCATGTCATGCAATAATACACATTGTGATTAAAGGGTAAAAACGATAATCTTTGAGGGAAGGTAAGAATGGAAGACTAGGGGAGGGGTGGAGGACAATTTTGGCTCACCGGACTTAGTGTCCCGATTTTATGGTTCTGTTTCAAGCAATTCTTGGAAAAAGCAAAGAGTGCATAACTGTGGATACATTTCAAAGTTACTCTCCCAGTCCAATTGACCCCCCTTGGCCCAACCTTTAAAGATGTGCAAGGAAAGAGACTTAGATCTATCACAGCCCCAACATGATCATGAGCGCTTCAGAAAGAATAACTTGAAGAGAAAACAAATTTAAGGAGCCAAATGGTTTAGAAGAAAAAAGGAAAAAAAAAAAAAAAAAAAAAACTTTCAAAGTGGTCTCAGGAAGTTGAAGTGTGACTAATTTTCTAGCCCAGTTCTGACTTTCTCAAATTTCAAAGGAGGACGGCTCTTCCAGAAATCTGAATAGAACCTTTTATTTTTAAACTCGGGGAGACTCCAGTCAGATCAATCTCATTATTAAAAATGTTGTAGTTTGGTTTTAGTTCCCTCTCGTACAACTGAATGGCAGGCAGACGGCCTTTGGATTCTCTCTGCACTGGAAACACACTCCATTGCCGTTTGCAGGGCTGGGAACGGTGAGCACGGGGCCCAGGTAGAAGGCCTGCGTGTAGATGCTGTGGTTGTGCTCACACACTCACCTGAGCTGGGCCGGCTGTCTGTCTCCAGCTGCTCTTCAGATGTCTTTTCCACGTCCAGTCTCAGGTCACTTATCTGCTTGTCAAGTTCTTGCAACTGATTCAACAAACCAGCATCTCTCCTCCTCAAACAATTCTGATGAGGGAGAAATGGAGAAAGGAAACATGTTGAACACATTCTGGTGACAAAGAACCAGAAAGGCTGCTCTAAGTCTTCGAATGACCATTTAGAGAGTTCCCCAAGTCTTCCGGAGCTAAAACTGCCTGGATGACTGGAAATAAAGAAAAAACTTCAAGTCCTATGTTTAATTCCACTTTCTCACACTTGATGGTGATATCAAGTTTCTTCATAAAAGCAATACTTGCTCTCGGTTTCGACTAATATATACAAAGTTAGGGAAGAATGAAAAAAATGCACTGAGATTTTATGAAATCTGCACGGCGTCCATGTTTTACAACATAGGACTTCACAGTCCACGCCTTGATTTGAAGTCAGAGTATAACAGATTTCCTATCTTCCTTAGGTGAGACTTTCTGGCCAAATGTCCTGCAGAGCTTTGTTTTCTATTAGTTGCTTTGTGGAGTTTAATCAGTCTTAGGGCCTTTGAAAGTGAGAAACTAATACTAATAGCCAGTGCCAAGTAAAATGTGAGCTGGCAGAATTCAAAACCCTCGAGGGAAGGTCCATCCAGATTTGAACTCCACTCGGGTTTCCAAAGGTGACAGATCTGTAGCGCTAACTCACACCGCCACCTAGTGCTTCCTGCTGCTGGAAAAGGGGGAGGGAAACACACACACACACATTCAAAAAGGCATCTGGTTCAAATCACAAATGCCAAGTCTACAAATGAAAATAGTGCCACAAACACTGGCCTGGAATTCTCCTGACACGCCGCTGCCCCGCTCCCCTCCAGGGACCACAGGAATGTGCCTCTCACAACCCCCCAAGTTTCAGGAAGACAAAAAGGGGCTGTTGTACAAGACAATGCTTGAGATGTCAGCGACCAGGCACCGCTGGCGAGCACTGGCTCATCAAATCAGCATTACATCCAAATATCTGGTCTAATCCCAGCGAAACACAGGAACATGCCAAGGTAGAGGTGTTACAAGAACCACGATGCATGCATTGCTACTCCTCTCTCTGTGTGTCCTTTGACTTAAAAAGTGTTGGTATAAACCATCTGCTTGTCTGCTAGGATGAGTTCCTTCAGGGGGGAAGAAAAAAAAAATGAACCTAACGGAATAAGAGCACTTTGAGGCTCAAGAGAGACAGAAATTATCTGAAAAGAGATAATCCAAGACAACCACCCAGCATAGCTGCCGCGTTCCTTTCTGCAGACGGGACCCTATCTGGCATGTGTCTAGTTTCAGATCCTATCACATGGTCAGATAAGGAGTGTGTGTGTGTGTGTGTGTGTGTGTGTGTGTGTGTGTGTGTTTTCCCTGCTGCTGCTTTCAAAACTACATTTTTTGAGGTCTCTGAAACAAAGCTGCCGCCATCATTCCGAGGCGGGGTCAAAAGCTGTTCACTGATACACGAAGCGCCAAAGTTCTTCCTCCTCCCCGTTAATGAAGATGACACGGGAGGACGAGGGCGCTGGCAGGACCCCAATAACATACATGCTCCCCGCCAGCAGGTTCTCTCCTCGCCCACCTCCACCTCCAGCCACAGCCAGCAGCACGTATCAACTATATAAGAGGAGGGGCACTTTTCCCAGCCAAATTTCCACCCGCTGCGCCTGTGTCAGCTGCCTGGTACAAAGGGCTTCTATGTGCAATGAAGCAGCGGCCCCAGCAGAGGCTGGCATGCCTAGGAGAGCCCCGGGAGGGGCCGGGCTCCTGCGTGCGCTTCCGTGCGGTCGTAAAAAAGCAGCATCGGACCCTTCACCACGCCGCAGGCCCCGTCCCCGGCTTTTGTCCCCTCTCGGCGGGAGGACCTGCAGCTGAGGCGGCCTCCAGAGGAGATGGCATTTTAAAGGAGGGCTCTGCAAACCCTCGGGGAGAGCGCGTGCAGTCACTCGTCTCCAGAGGAGAGGTCACATCCAGGCCACTCCGAGAACCCCGAGGGGAGAGAGGCCATCCCTGTCCCGCGGATCGCGCGGGGTCGCCACCCCCTCACCTGGCACAAAGCGGGGCGCAGGCAGGAACCGGGGTCCGAGAGGGCGGGGGTCCCGGGACCCTTGAGAATTTCCCCAGCCAGAGGCTCGGCACTCCCGCGCCACCCCCGGGTCACCTGCCTGGCTCCCACCTCCGGGCACGACCTACCAATTGCTTCCGCAGCAGCAGAATGTTCTCCTCCAGGAACTTCTCCTCCAGGCGGCTGCGCTGCGACGCCTCCCCCGGCGGCAGCTCCCCGGCGCGGGGCGCGGCGCCCGCACCCCCGGGGCCGCGCAGGGCGCCGCGGACCAGCAGCTCCTGGCGCTGGCGCAGGTACTCCAGCTCCGCCAGCCCGGCCAGCGTGGCCTCCTGCCGCTCGCGGGTGCGCTGCCGCTCCGTGTCCGCCTCGCCCTTGTCCCGCCAGCGCCCCTCGGGCTCCGCCGCGCGCTGCTCGCCCCGGGCCGGCGCCGGCGGCTCCAGCTCCCGCGCCGCCACCCCTCCGGCCGGACTGGGCTTCATGGCCCCTGGCCCCGCAGCGGGCACCCGTCACCACGGCCGGGATGGTCCGGGCGGGGGAGCGGGGCGCTCAGCACCGCGGCCGCGGGCTCATGCCGCCCGGGCGGCGAGACACCAGCGGCGGCGGGGGCGGCGGCCGGCAGCGCTCGCGGGCGGCGGCCGGCAGCGCTCGCGGCCCGCGGGCTGCAGCCGTCCCGGCCCCGGCGGCGCCGTCCGCGGGCCCCGCCGCTGAGAACGCCCTGCCCGGCGCTACGTCACGCGCGGCGGCGGCCGGGCGAACCCCCGCCTGGCGCCCGCCTCCCCGCGCCGGCCCCTCGGCTGCGAGGCGCGCTCCCCCCGGCGGCCCCGCGTCTGTCAGGGGCGCCGCGCGCGCCGCGCCGGCCTCCGCCCGCCCCGCCCCCGCCCCGCCCCCTCCCCGCCCCCCTCTGCCCGCGGGTCCCTTCGCCCCCTTTCCGAGCGGACTGCACCCGGTTTCTGCTCGCTCCTTATTGGTCCTTTCCCCGCCTACAAAGTCGGGGGGCGAGCACCCCGCGCCCAGCCTCCTGGTGCAGCCGGCCTCGCGGCGGGGTCTGCGGAGCGGAGGGCGCCGCGGCGGGGCTCCCCGGAGAACTTTCTGAAACTCCGCGGAGCGCTGCGTGCGTGTCCCCAGCTTAACCCTTTCCCCGCGCGCCCCGCTCTCCTCCCCGGGGCCCGCGCCAGGTCCCCTCCACCTCGCCAGGCGAGGGACCGAGTGCACTCGGTGGCATCCTCCCCGGGTTGGTTTTTTCACTCCTCTCCGTAAAGGCGAGCACTACAAAGCACGGGGCCGTGTTCTAAAACTGTCCAGCCCCGAGTTTGGGGCCGCTGGCTTTGCCTGTGGAAGGCATTCAGAGTCCGGCAGCGGGACGCCGCGGTCTAGAGCGGCTGCATCCATCCAGTCTTTTACGAGCTCCGGGCTTCGATGCGCGCGCGCGTGCGCGCCCCGCGGTGGGTGTGAGTGTTTTATTGTTATTTAGTCTGCGCTCCGGAGAGCCGGGACTCCGAAACCAGACTGCCGAAATCTGAATCCTGTTTCCTGCCGACCCTAGGTGGGCGGGCAAGTGACTTCACCTCTTTCTGCCTCTGTTTCCCGGACGGTTAAATGAGCTACGGACAGGACCTGCCTGTGGGAAGAATGATGATAAAATATAGCATAGTACAATATACGTTGGGGGTGTGGGGTGCCTTACGTGACAGGCACATAGTAAGGCTTATATGAGTTCTAGCTTTTTCTTCCCCTCTTCCCCCCCTCTCCCCCCTTTAGAGGGACTATAAATTTTCCCCGTCCAGTAGCATTTGCAGTATGGTCATCTCTGCTTGAGACGGGGTCGCAAGGAATTTCAGTAGGATAGGGGTCTGGAAATGCCACTTGTCTGTGGGAAAGTACCATATCTATTTTGAAAGAACAGGACATCCAAGAGCCTCAGATACTGAATCCGGCAAGTCACAATTTGCTGAAGTTCAGGCAAAGTGTGTAAAGGAGTTCATCCTCTCATTGTTTCAGATTCTTCCACCTTTGCCCAGCTGTTTACCTCTGCTAAAAATTCTCCATTTCTCCCCTCTGTGTGCTCTTAACTTCCCCTCTTGGTGCATGGGACCACTCACAACCAACTGAGCCACACCAGCCAGGCTGTACATTGTCTTTTTATTAATGTACTTTCTAACTAAGTAGTACCCTTTTAATCCCTGAGATAAATAGAATCAAGTTGACATTTACAAAAAAAAAAAAAAAAAAGCAAGTGTTCCCTTGTCATTCCCCAACCACCTCCCTATAGCTGCCTCTTCACAGGCATAAGGGGAACTATGACTTCAGTCGTGATCATAATTAACAAGATTGTATCTTAGTACTAAAAATGGAATTATGCTCAGGTGTTCATCAGCTTTTAAAACAAAATCCGTTTTATTCAGGTCCCCTATGCTTTATGCCTGCTGTATGCCAAGCACTGTACTTGATAATACAGGCACTAAATTTTTTTCCCGAATTTTAGTGAGGCCCTAGAAAATAATGACTGGTCCTGTTGGCCAAATGCCACTCATCCATGTCCTCTGTCATTTATTGTCTCATTCTATTCATTTCTAGGCAAGCTGCTTGCTTTCTAGTTCTGAATCAGATTCCTTCTGGCCGGGTGGAGTCTATTATTGTGGCCTGTGTTCTATCACACATCGACAACTATATTTATATAGTTGGGGAGGAAGCTGAAACATGTTTTTGCAAAGTACTAATAAATCTTGTTAAAGCAGACAGACAAGTTGCTATTTCTCCAAAACTGCCCACCTTCCCACCCCTCCCCTCACCAAATGCCACTTTCGAGTTGGCTCATTAGCCCAAAGCAAACCATTTGCCATAACAGCTTGTACATCTCCTTGAAAAAGTATTCCCAACAAGTTTAAATATTAAAATGAATGTATTCAGATGGCTCTGCCAATAAAATGGTCACAAATAGGAAAAAAAGGTTATGCTTTCCACAGTATCCATTACACATTAATAAATAATGCTGTTCATTCACACGCCAATTAAAACAAACTCAGGCTGTCAAACGAAGTAGAAGCAAGGAGCTCAATGCTCTAATTGTTTTTCCAGGAAAACTCCCAATTTTCGTCAGATTAAGTGTGACTGGTTGAGTTGCCCCTGTTCTCTTCTTCACCCTACAGCCCACTTTTCTCCCCTCCAGCCCAGGTCTCCGGCTTTTCTTCCCTCGGAGTCTTTGTTTCGGTGGCAGGTATTGGAAGGCAGAAAAAAGCAATCACCCCCTCACGGCTCACTGCTCTTTTTCGTTGCCAACAGGGTCTCACTTTTCTCTACTGTTTTTCATTTTTCCTTCTTGTTTCTTTTTAAAGCAGTGGCTGTGCTTCTTCCTTAAGGCTACTTGGCGATCTCCTTTCTGGTATGGCTCGGCCCTAGTTCATTCTTTTGCTCACCCCTCCCTATGCCCCACCTCTGTCTTCTCAGAAAAACTGCTAATCCACACTCAGAAAGGGCAGCACTAAAGATGGGTGGGTCTGCCCTCTCCCCCACTGATCTGGAGAGTAAGATAAAGCTGTCAGCATGAAAAAGAGTCTCGATGGAAGGTATCACAGTTGTGTAGCTTATGCTCAAGGGTATTTCCTGGAGATGAACCTTCTTCGGATACTGCCTGACTGGTTTGCCTCTGGGCAGAACAGCTCCCACCAGCATCCCCAGCCCAGTCTGAGTATCATTCTTCAGATGCCTTATCCAGCAGTGAACTTTCATTGCAGTCAATTGCACGTTTTGCTGTAGAGCAAAGCAACAAAATGATGCCTTGCAGCTTTTATGGCCAAACACACACAAATGATGTAATTGGGAAAAGCTGTCTCCGAATAGGAGGGGGGGAAAAAATAAAGGACAATCCTTTGAGTTGGGGTGATGACCACCATTTGAGGGTCTGGGATCAAAGCTCCAGCCAGACATCAAAGCCCATTTGAATCTAATGCCAGAAGAGCCACAGTGAATTAAACATCATGTATACACTAATTATAGCTTGACCCCACAATCCCGCTTCAGAGAGCACACACAGGGGAAAGAAAGCAGACATTGAAACAAAAGATCAAGAAAAAGGAAAGTTGGTAACAAGACTGGGCAACAGCATGGCCCTGACCACTTGAAAAATCTTTTGAGGGCAGAGGGGATAGGGACTGGCAGCAGAAACAGCAAACTCTGGACAATGCCAGTCTTGTTTGCCAGGCTATGTATGAACACTCTCACTGACGCCTGCACAACCAAACATTCCTTATTCCTAGAAGAAAGGTTATCTTTTAGCTGTTGTAACGTTAGTAAAGAGGTTCCCGGGCACCAGGTTTCTGTGGAAGAAGCACAAGGTGATTCCATGAAGTTTGGGGGTCAGTGCTTCAGGAAGCTCAGGCTTGCTCACAGAGCGCACCATGAGGTCCAGACACTCACATCTGTCTGGGAGTGACCTGCATTCCTCATGGTCTGAATTCCTGATGTCCCCACCGACCTCGGACTTCAGTCCCTCGGCTCTGCCACTTCTGCTGGTCATCTTTACAAATGGGAGGGACAGCACCCCGGCTGTGCAAATACTCCAGAACTCCGTGCCTAGTAACACCAAGAAACAGTGAATGCGACTTCATCCACAGGCGGAATTTGAAAGTGTCTCCAGACAAGTGGCCCCTTTAAATGTGTTGCCCTCACTGGTCCCCATTTATCTGAAACTCTCAGTCTCATGCACTGGCACACCGTGGCACATCGGCTTTGATAATGCAGAGAACATGTCCAGTAGTATTTCTTTGTAGATAAGCATTAGTGATTTCCTAAAATAACAGAATCTAAATGTACAACCTGAGTATCTTAATAAGAAAAAAATTTAAAAGTGAGCCTTCTTATAGCATAAAACAAATTGATACCATCATCATTATATCACATTACTTTGATTAGTCATTTATTCAACAGGTATTTGAGCATCTATCTAATATGTGCCAGGAACTGGGGATACAGTGGTGAACAAATCAGACACAGTCCCTACCTTCATGGAGGTTAGGGTCTAGGAGATAAACTGGCACTAATTAAATAACATACATATATGTGATATATAGATAGACAGATATATCTATATATCTATATATATTTATGTCAAATATATACTATATACTATATATATATTTTTTTAAATATATTTTATTGATTTTTTTACAGAAAGGAAGGGAGGAGATAGAGAGCCAGAAACATCGATGAGAGAGTAACATCGACCAGCCGCCTCTTGCACACCCCCTACCGGGGATGTGCCCATAGCCAAGGTACAAGCCCTTGACCGGAATCCAACCCGGGACCTTTCAGTCCGCAGACCGACGCTCTACCACTGAGCCAAACCGGTTTCGGCTATATACTATATATATTTATGTCCAAATATATGTAATTCCAGATTGAGAAACAACTACTACATTTTGTAAAATAATATTTTAAAAGCAGATATATTCTGTGATTATACCTTAAAAAATTATAATCAAAT